ATATGTTAATGGAGTCCTGGTGTGACACTGTGGGTTAATGCAAGGTCAGTTTAAACCACAGGTTTGCCAGTTCAAGCTCACCAGCTGCTCCTCAGAACCCTGTACAGGGTTGTGATGAGTCAGAGCCGACTCGATGGCACTTAACAAGAACAACAGTGTGTTTATAGTGGTTCTCAATAGGGTGATTTCCCCCACCTTCATGGAAGTTTTTGAAATATCTGGAGACATTTTTGTTCTTACAGCTGAAGGGTGGGTACTAAATAGCATCTAGGGGTTTGGCCAAAGGATTATAAAAATTCTGCAAAGCCTGGTGTAGCTTCCCACAGCTAAGAATTATCTGGCCCCATATGCCATTAATACCATTGTTGAGAAACCCTGATCAGATATAGAGAGTGACAGATTAGAAGGATAAGGATAAAGGTTTTCTTGTGTTTTTAACTGTCTGTGCTTCTCAAATTATCTGTGGTGAAAAAGTTTTTTGTTTTGTTTTTAATTTCCAATCTTTGTGTACCTTTTAACTTTCAAAATACCATAAAAATGTCATGGCATTTTCAAATTGCCATAAAAATTACTGAACACTTTATTTCCAAACTTATCGTGCATGGACACCAAAGAGTTTACAGATTATCACCAATCTGTAGACATTTTGAATAGCAGTATGTTATAGCTTTTGTCTCTGAATATTCTGTAGTGAACTTATATATTTAATGTTCAGGGAAATTTTTATTTGATGGAATACAAAGAAGAAATTTGGTAAAATTTCCATAATTAAAAATACTTGACTCTTTTTTGTTTGTTTTAAATCAGTATACTTAGAAGACATACTCAGTTAGGACAGGGATAGAAAAGTGTTTCAAGCGCTCCTCTACCCATTCCATTCTCCTGACAAATAGCCTCAGTGCTCTTTCTTTTGGACCTTGACCCACCACTGCTGCCAAGTTAATTTTAACTCCTTTTTTGTCCCCCTATTAACTTTTAATTGTGAATTGAGTGAAGGGATTACAGAACAGAGTACCAGTTATACACTCAACAAATCACACACTTAGTTTTATCTCAATGACTGCAATTCCCTCCATGTAGCAACAGTATCCCATTTCCTCCCTGTGCGTCTTACTCTTATTCAATCTTCCCATTCTCTTAACTTTGTCCTTGGGTAGATGCTGCGTTTTTACTCTTGAATGGTTGACGATTTCTACACTTACTAGTGTTGTTGTCACTCCTAAATACCTGTCGACCACTTGGCTGAAAATTGAGCCACAAGACTGAGCTCAGTTCCAAACCTAAAGGGTGACCGAGTACCATATTCTTGGGTTCCTCTAGTCTCTTTCTGATTAGTAAGTTTGATCTTTTTTATAATTTTGAGTTTTGTTCCACATATTCTCCCACTCTATCCAAGACCTTCTAATGTGATCCCTTTCAGAACAGTTGGTTGTGGTAGCTAGGCACCATCTTGTTCTCTGGTTTCAGAGTCATGGAGACTGATATTTACAAGTCTCGTTAGTCCATAGGACTAATTTATCCCAAGCTACTTACATTGTAGGATAAGCACTGGACTGTTACTTCAAGGTTAGAGGTTCAAACTACCACTACTTCTCGGACACCCTGTACAGGGTTGCTATACGTCAGAACCAACTCGACAACACTTTACAACAAAACAAAAGTAGAACATAGAACATTGTCTTTGTGGCCTATGTTATATCAAATCACCATGATGTCTCCGGAGACTGTGGTACTGAGCCCCCAAACCCAGCAACTTATCCTCTCAAGATGTTTGATATGAAGAAATTTTCATAACTTTGCCTCCTGTATGGTCTACCACCTTCATGCATTCATAAGTGCATTTGCAGCAAAGGTAAATAACCATGTACAAATATCCTCTGTCAAGCCTTTATTTATTTGTATATATACTCCCACTCTCTCCCTCCAATAACTAATTCAACCCTATAGGGTTTCTGAGGTTATAAATCTTTACGGAAGCAAACTGCCTCATTTTTCTCTTGCAGAACAGCTGGTGGGTTTGATCCGCTTCAGTTAGTAGTTAATTCACTTAATTCCATTGTGCCACGAAGATTCCTTTGGACTCTAACACAGATTTCTTAACATAGTGTTTATGGAAGCCACTACAATTTTAAGGCAATTGGTATTAAACGTAAAATTTACTAGTCATTCTAGACTATTAAGGTAAAAATACTATGGTTACCATATTCCTAAGGAGCTCTGGTAGCATAGTGGTTACTAATCGGGCTGCAAACCTTAAGGTCAGCAGTGCTGTTCGCGGGAGAAAGATGAGGCTTTCTACTCCCATAAAGATTTACAGCCTAGGAAATCCTACTATACAGGGTCGCTATGAGTCCAGACTGACTCCATGGCTCATAACCACCACCACCACCATATTCCTATGTCATTTTCTTTCTTTTCTCATTCAGATTTACCAAGGTTATTAAAAATCACAAATCATTGTTTTAAATGTGTTCATTTCTGATTCCAGATATACTATTAAAAATCTAAGTCATGGCAAAGTAACATTAAGTCATTGCTTTATTGTAATATTATGGTAAAATAGATCTTGAACTAAAACCAAACTTACAGCAGAAAGAGTTATTGGTTTAGGGAAGAAAAAAATCAAATTACAATAAAGGTATGCTTAGGTACATATTTGTCAGAAATCTGTGATCCATTGTTATCTAGCTTCTTAGTTTCTTTCATTTGTTTATTTCACAAATAATTTATTAGCCATGGCACTTCACAACAACATGTCAAGTACATAGATGAAATGAAATAGTTAAAATCTCTATTCTTTGTCTGAAACTTACATTGTGTTTTTTTGTTGTTGCTGTTTTCCTTTTAGCAACTTGTTGTTGTTGTTGTTGTCAGGTGCCATCGAGTCGGAACCGACTCATAGCGACCCCATGCACAGCAGAACGAAACAATGTCCGATTCTGGGCC